CAATCATCCGCAAATAGGCGAATGTTATTAGAAATGTCAGACGGTAGATCAATAACATAAATTAAATATAGCAACGGCCCGAGAACTGTACCCTGTGGTACACCGGACAGAACGGATGCTGTGGTAGACTGTGCGCTATTTATTTCGACAAATTGCTTTCGTTTCAGGAGGAAGTTTTTGATCCAATTAAGTGCAAATGGGTCAAGATTCAGCAGTGATAGTTTATACATTAAGCGACAGGTGGGGTACCTTGTCGAATGTCTTTTCAAAATCTAGGAAAATTACGTCTGTTTGGATGTTTCTGCCAAGGTTTAAGTGTAAATAATGTGTAAATGAAGCAAGCTGCGTTTCGCAGGACAGCCCCTTGCGAAAACCATGTTGCGATGTGGAGAAAATGTTATGGCTTTCGAGGTGATTAATGATGTGCGAAAAATTATATGTTCCAATATTTTTGATGGTACGGACGTAATTGAAATGGGGCGATAGTTCAACGGTGATGAACTATTGCCGGCTTTGAAAGGTCGGAACAATCTTACCTAGCTTCCATTTAATGGGGATACAGCTTGACGTTAATGATTGGGAAAATAGCAAAGCGAGCGTGGCACTAATTGGTTCTTTGGAATTTTTCAGCATTTTAGAGTTGATTCCGTCTGGTCCCGTAGCAGATGATAGTTTCATTTTATTAATGATGTTCATTATTCCTTGAGCTGTAAATATTATCGGGGGCATTCGTTCATTAATGACCAGATCCGAGGAAATGGGGGCGCTCATGCTGGCTTCTTTCGTGAAAACCTGAGGAGAACGCCACGTTGAGTACTGCGGCTGTCTCACTATCGCTAATTTCTACGTTTTCATCGTTATACAATCTTATTGGGGTGGCAGGAGACGGGTTTATAGCTTTCCAAAATTGTTTTGGATTAGTTTGTAGCATATTAGGCAATGTTGTCTCACAAAAATTTCGCTTGGCAACACGAATTGTTTTCGTTAGCTTCTTTACTGAGCCTTGATATGCCTGCCATGCGGACGGACTATTTCTGGCTTTTCTAAACAGTCGCTTTTTTCTGCGTATTTCTTTGCTAATTCAGCCAGAAAACCACGGTGCCGATTGTTTGCTTTTCATTTTTACCGTTGGAACATATTTATCAGTTAATTCTTGAAATTTCTCCGAAAACAAGTTCCAGTTGTGATCTACAGAGCAGGTCATGGAAACATTCTTCGAAAGAAAAGATGAAGCTTTGTAGCTCAGCCGTGATATTTTCGTAATTTCCCTTGTCGTAAAGTCTTATTCGTTTTGCTACTGGTTTTTCTGTCTGAAATGCTGAGTGAAAAAACGCTAGGATAACTTTATGATCACTTATTTCTTTGAGGTAATGTACTGACTGGATACCGCTCGGGTCGGGCGTTAGAATTAGGTCAAGAATGTTTGCGGTATTTGTGGTCTGTCTGGTAACTTGGGTTATGATTTGTGTTAGTTGAAAATCTTGTAGGATGCTTAAGAACTGGCCGGGTTCACCGATAGTTACGCGATATTGGTCACTCCAATCAATGGTAGGGTAGTTAAAATCACCGCATTATATTAGGTTAGCTAGGGGAAACTTTTTGCTTATGAAGTCGAGAGAGTCGTTAAGGAGCCTGCAAAAATCGGCGTCTGGTTGTGGGGGGCGATAGCACGCTCCAATTATGGTAAGTCCTGATAGCGTTCGACATGCTACGTACATTATCTCTAGGGGGCTCTCGTGTTCAATTTAAAAGTGAATAATAGAATTCTTTATTCCAATAAGAACTCCACCACCTCGGCTTAGCAAACGATCTTGGCGGTAAACGGCAAATCCAGGCATGTACGGAGCAACTTCCGCGTCAGAAATATGCGATGAAAGCCATGTTTCGCTAAGAACGACCATATCACAATCACATGATTGAATGACGGCGGATACGTCTTCACGCTTTGGAATTATACTGCGAATGTTAGTGCGAATAATCGAGCATGTGACGTCGTTAGGGCGTAGCGACGTGCGTTTCGGTGTGTTGCAGGGGTGTGATTTAGAAAGACAAGGCTCCGTTATATTATTTTCTTGCTAGCTCACCCGCGCTGTTCTTTCTTTAACCGCCTTATCAGCGGTGTCATAGTAGTAGGTTTTCTTGTCGATTATTCGTTTTTTGTAGCGTAGCTTGAAAGGAAGCTTCTGTTCTCGGGCGAAACGAACAAGCTCGCGATGTATCGAACGAGTGGCGGCACAAAAATCCTCAGAGATACTGACTATTGTGCCCTTGAGCTTGAAGGCCTTAGATAAAATACCATCTTCAGTCTTAAAAGAAGAGAAATTAACAATAATGGGGCGTTTTTTGTCACGAGCAATTTCGCCGATACGACGTGCTCTGTGAATATCTTTAGGTTCGAGTGCTATCTTCAAATTTCTATTGCAATTATCTGTGACCAGTTTTTCGCTATCGCTCCAAGATTCAGACTCGCCTTCACTGATGCCATAGAAGACAAGGTTGCAGCGACGCAACCTATCCTCTGCGTCATTCAACCTTTCCTCAATGCCGGCGATGCTATCTGATGTCTGGGCGGATGAGCGGAGTAGGACGTCTACATCAGACCGCATATCGGGTAGCAATTTGCACTGGTCTTCCGTCTGCGCAATCCGCGCAACCAAATCAGCAAGGGTTTGTTCCGTGCTAGTCAGGCGAGTATTGATAGCCTTCAGTTCAGCCAGGATGGTGGCCTGGCCGTCTTCTAAGGTTGTTAGCAAAGCATACATCGTCTGGTCACTCTGGGTAGTAGAGCTACGTGTGGTTGGACCTGGGTTTTCCTCTATGTCGCCCGACAGCAACAACAGCTCATGCACAATGTTCACAGAATTACACAATAACAACGCAAGGCAGCGGGGGCTCGGCAGCTGCACCAGGTAACGATTGCTAGTCTTCTTAGCAAAAAGAGAATCGTAATGGCGTACCTGCGCGATAAACGCAAACGGTGTTACCCGCTGGACCATGGCGCAGCTGACGAGCCCACAAAGCGCCGGTTGCAGGGTGTGGTCCTTTATAGGCGATGGAAAGGCTGATATTGATGATCCCGGAGATGCCGTAGGTTCCAAGAGTCCCTCGGTAGAAATGATGAAGGCGCCACCTTTCGGTCCAGCTGTTCGGTCTGGTGCTCCCAGATACAGTGAGCATCCGGCAGACGGCGCATGCGCACTGGCTCCAGGATTTCCGGGGCTTCCAGTGTGCAAAGCGCATGTCACATTGCCGCAGGCGTCCGACGAGGCTGATTACCGCAAAGACCTGCGCGATAAACGCAAACGGTGTTACCCGCTGGACCATGGCGCAGCTGACGAGCCCACAAAGCACCGGTTGCAGGGTGTGGTCCTTTATAGGCGATGGAAAGGCTGATGTTGATGATCCCGGAGATGCCGTAGGTTCCAAGAGTCCCTCGGTAGAAATGATGAAGGACGCCACCTTTCGGTCCAGCTGTTCGGTCTGGTGCTCCCGGATACAGTGAGCATCCGGCAGACGGCGCATGCGCACTGGCTCCAGGATTTCCGGGGCTTCCAGTGTGCAAAGCGCATGTCGCATTGCCGCAGGCGTCGACGAGGCTGATTGCCGCAAAGACCTGCGTAATAAACGCAAACGGTGTTACCCGCTGGACCATGGCGCAGCTGACGAGCCCACCCAACAATACCAGGTTGATTAAAATTAAAAGGGACATAATGACGCCTTTGTCGAGAAGTTGGCGTAGCCAGGCTGAAGAGACAGTTACCTCTATCCGGCAAGTTTGTGTAAATGATCCTGTCTGTGGTAGTTCCTGCTGTCAAAATGTGTAGCTGGAGGAGCCCGAAGTTCCCTAAATATACTCACGGGATGGTGGGCTCGTCAAGCAGATTTTCAGATTTTACCCGTAATTCTTCCCTGATGACACGCAGCCTATATCACTGTTTAGTAAGGGTGCCCAGAGAGGTTTACAGAGAAAGACACCCTTGGAATTGAGGAGCCATTCTCCCCCGAGCGCTAGGTCAGATTACGCTTTTATGGCTGAGGAAAATTGGTGTGCTGCCGGCTGGTCCGAGAGATCGTACTTAAGGAGCCCTCTACCACTTTTCAAAATTGATTCTGACAGCGTAACTCATAGTGGCATTCGCCACAACTACTGCGAGCGGAAATGACGCCGGAAGGTTGCCGCTATATGATTGGGCGAATCTGACGTTAAATGTGATCGCGGCATTGCGTCAAAATAAGGATCATTGTTGAATTTATTTCTTATTACCATGATTTTTCACTCAAAGCTGCAAAGAATAAAGCTGTCCGACGTTTCCAGCTCGAAAACTGCAAAGCTGGTCAAAGAATGCATCGAACGCCATGTGCTGGTGAAAACACGCCAGCGGCGCTCAGGCTGCCGTTATTTAAAAAACACTAAAAGAAAGAAATGGAAGAGCGTTGATGTATATACGTCATTGCAAAAAGAAAGATCAATAAAGCTACAAAACATTATAGAATGGTTCACGAGCTGGCTCGTTTCGAACGTGTCGTTCCATCTTCTAGTTCCACATTGTTACAATCGCAACGGCGCCCGGAATACGCTGGACGTAACAGGCAATATGTCATGCGAGCTCCCTGTACGGTAGGGCTTTCAGTTCTTTTATTGGGCAGCCTTCCAACGTCAGAGGGTGAGAGAAACAGGATATACGGTGAGCCCGCGAAAATCAAGTTGAAGGTAAGCATTCATTTCACTGTATTTTGATATCTCTACGCTGAATCACTTTGCACTGCGTGGCCCTATCGCTGCTGTTCTTGCGGCACTTACCTCTTAAGGCGCCAGTGTACGCAGCCAGCTAGAAAAACATGTAAACCTATGAAGTCGTGAAAAGTGTTAGAAAGCCCCTTTAGTGACTTTCGCATTAGATGTGAAGGCTCTGCTGTTTCAATAAAGCAGTGGTTGTGAGAGGCGAAATCATAAAATTCATGGTGAGTCGCCTTATGCATTTAGACCGAAAAGACGCCACCTGGTACTTGTTGCACACGTCGATGAATTGCTTGTAAGTGAGCGCGGGCGACACGATGACGCACGTGGATCCAACGCAGGCTGCCAACATAGTGAACAGGAAGCCGCACGTGTGTGTGACTGGGTTCCATGCTAGAAGAACGTCCGTCTCGTCCGACGCAATGGTGTTCCTGCACGTGGAGGAAGCTTTTAGCGTTTCTTTTTGAAAACGTGATGCAATAACGGCAGTGCGCGTTAGGTCCAGGACCTAACGAAATAAAGCCCTGGGCTATAAAGATACAACCAGAACACAGAGAAGTCAAGAAATGTGTGCGAAACGTTATACTTGTACTGTTTGAAGGGTACTAGAATGATTGTCTTGTAGTTGAGAAGAAAGTAAAATGGACGTAAAAACTACTTGCCGCTGGCAGGGACCAAACCTCTGAAATGAGTGAGCATCTACACATATATTGCGTCTTAGCGTGTCGCTTTTGCTCTAGTTCTGTCAGCAAGGAGGGCGTGACTGTGTAACAGGCCACTCTAAAAAAGAGGTATTTGCATTTGTAGGAACGAGAATATAGAAAGATGTTGAGTATCACGTAAGAAAAGCGCAAGTTTCTTTCCCTTTTTATCCTTTCTTGCTTTGATCTAGTGAGTTGTGCAGCTATTATAGCACAATGTTTTCTTTCTTTTACGCAATATTACGCGATTGGCAGTATTGCCAGAATTTTGAGAAGAAATACCACTACTTTCATCTGTATGTAGCTTGTTCCAATCACTTAATATTCCATGGGCCCTTTAGACCTCTCCTAAAGAGGCCATGACACGGCCACCATGCAATATATGGGCGTCATAAAAAATTTATAAGTAGAGGAACTGTTATGCTTTGCAGATATAGAAAAGAGGACGTAAGAATATTTCGGTGTCAAACAAGGCCTAGATCCCCGCCGCGGTGGTCTAGTGGCTGAGGTACTCGGCTGCTGATCCGCAGGTCGCGGGTTCGAAATCGCGGCTGCAGCGGCTGCATTTCCGATAAAGGCGGAAATGTTGTAGGCCCGTGTGCTCAGATTTGGGTGCACGTTAAAGAACCTCTGGTGGTCGAAATTTTTGGAGCCCTCCACTACGGCGTCTCTCATAATCATATGGTGGTTTTGGGACGTTAAACTCCACATATAATCATCAACGAGGCCTAGATGTCGCCGTCTATAAAACCGCCATTTTGCCATGACACGAGTGACGTCATCTGCAGCAAGGAGTGGAGCCGTTGTCTTCTATCATTTCAGCCGCTGTAAACCTGCTAATATTGGTTCCAAGCTCTAAAGAGCTAATATATTCTAATTCTACGTGGAGCTGACCACGGCACAGTAGTGACAGTACCGTTCGCCGAAATGTATATAGACGCTAGGAAAGCTAGCTGCTTTTTACGTCATGGCTCGCTCGTGGGCCTGTATTGTTATACTTTATGAATTATTCAATTTTGAATAAGTGCTAGAGCAAATGTGCCAAAATATCACTGGATTATTTGTGAATGCACAAGAGTTAACCAATATAACACAAACTACGAAAGAAAATTTTGCGTAACAGCCTATTTCACTGTTTCAATACAACAGGAACCGCGTTACCATGTAAGTGCTACACTAGAAAATAAAATGCAGCTTTGGGATATTTCTATAATAGCATACTATAAATGCGAGTAAATTAGCATTAGTATCCATGATTTCACGACATTTTAACAAACCTTTTTTTAATGTAGAACATATGTACCCACACACACACGCACGCTGGTGTGAGTATGAACTGTGAAGGAGAAGACATGAGCTTATGCAGCATATCATATATATATATATATATATATATATATATATATATCTATATATATATATATATATATATATATATATATATATATATATATATATATATATAGGTATAAACTTCGAGAATAGTGCAGTATAGGAAACAAAACAATAAAATATTTATTTAATCCTAACAGTTTCGGCTGGTGGACCAGCCTTCTTCGGAGGATGTAAGTGAAATGATACAAGTTCCCGTAGCAGAGGGTCACCCTCACAGTTTAAAGACCCTCCAAAAAAAGAGAGAGAGAAAAAGACAAGCGGGCGAACGAGGTAGCAACAGACAACAAGAAGCAGAAGAAGGAGAGGAACTAGAAAGGAGCGACGGAGAGCCGCCGGAAACGAGCGGGTAATTCTGGCATTGTTGCTGCGTATAGGTAAGACGCGCCGCCAGCGGAGGCGACCAAGAAAAACGGAAAAATGTGGAACATGTTGCCGCTTACTCGCATCTCACACATGGATCGAGTTTAAGTTCACGTGGTTCGGCGGCTGGCCCGTGGCATCAGGCCACACACACACACACACACAAGAAGCATACGACCCGCTCCAGCTTTCGGAATATAATGGCCACGTTGGAAAGCTAATGTGCCCTCTCCCCCTCCCTCCACCTGCCCTCTCTTGCAGAAAAATGTACAACCAGTCATACTGAAAATAAATAAATGGGTATTCTTGTAAAGGATGAAAATATATAAAAATAAATAATACTAAAAAGTATTAAGAAATGAAAATAAAGTTTAATAATACTAACACAATCCGTTCGGTTTACGTAGCATCGAATTCGTTTAGTTTCGCTATATTGACTAAATTGCGTGTGCGACTTCACGTATGTATAAATAAATTAATTGAGTAATTCAATTTCTGTGTTTCACGAAACGTCGCGGAGACACGTCAGTCGCCCAGGGCTCTCGTTGATTCCGTGGGTAAGTGATCTGAATTTCTTTATAAAGTATGACTCCCGCTGTTCGCTCTCCCGTGTGTTCTGGAAGCCGGATTGTAGGAGTATGACACTTACGCGTTCGAAAGAGTGACCAGGAAGATTGATATGTTTGGAGAACGGCAAATTGGGGAGGCCCTTTACGTGTGCCCTGTGGTTGTTGAAACGCAAACGGAACGCGGTTTCCGTGTGTCCAATATATTCCTGTTTGCACACCTCGCAGCGAATTTTGTATACCACATTGGCTGAGTCACAGTTAAGGTCGTCTTTAATTTTGTACACATAGTCTGAACAGGAGGCTTCGGCCGTATCTGTGGTCACCATGTGTGTGCACACCCTGCAGCGAGGTTTCCCGCACGGTCTACAGCCCTGATGGTGGTCGGATTTGTGTGTTTTCGCCCTGACCAGTAAGTCTCTCAGGTTTTTATTTCTTCGGTAAACCACCTTGGGCGGAGTCTGAAAAATGGCAGAGAGGCGACTACTCTGTTTAAGTATGTTGAAGTGGCGGTTTAGTATAGAATTCACCCGAGGGGCGGCGGCGCAGTATGTGAGGATTAAATTTGCCCCTGAAGTTATATCATCCTTATTCCCACCTTTTTCTCCCATTGTTGATTCTCGGTCCAAAGAGCGAGCGCGCTCAATTGCATTGTCAATTATTTTTTCGGGGTACTTTTGACGCAAGAAGGCTGTTCTCAATTCCTGTGCGTGGGTGTCAAATTGCGTGATTTCAGAGCAAATTCTTCTGTATCTGTGGGCTTGAGAGTAAGGAACACCTGTTTTGCAGTGATGGGGGTGACTGCTATGGAAATGCAGATACTGTTGGCGGTCTGTTGGTTTTTTATACAGGGAAGTAGATATGGTGGTGCCACTGAGTGATACAGTGACATCCAGAAAGTGAACACTCTTCTGCGAATACGTGTGCGTGAATGTTATCGAAGGATGCACGGAGTTGAAACCGGAAATGAATTTGGAAAGATTATGTTCACTATCGGCCCACACGAAGAATATATCATCGAGGAAGCGTCGGTAAAATATAGGTTTGAATGGAGAATTTTCGAGGAAAGGAATCTCTAAAGAGGCCATGAAAATATTTGCGTAATTTGGGGCCATTTTGGTTCCCATGGCAGTTCCGTTTACTTGCAGATAATGATTTTGGTCGAATTCAAAGTTATTATGTTTAAGTACCAGATTTAGGAGCACCTCTAAAGCGCTTTCGTCGAATTCACTCGTCGATTTACTTTTTCCATAGGCGGCGACTGTGGCGGCGATTCCTTCGGTGTGGGGAATGTTTGTGTACAGTGATGAGACATCCATGGTGACCAAATAGCAATCTAGAGGTACCACAAGTTTTGAGACTTCTCGAAGGAAGTGGCTGGTATCTTTGATGTATGATGGGAATGATTGTGGGATGTGCCTAATCACGGAGTCAATGAAACTAGAAATTTTTTCAGTAGCAGTACCGTTGCTGGAAACTATGGGTCGGCCGGGATTGTTAGTCTTGTGAATTTTGGGTAGTAAATAGAAACGCCCGGGAGACGATTTGCCAGGTGACATCATTTTAAGCATAGGGTAGGTTATCTTCCCACTTTTACGTAATGATATTAGTGAGGCCTTTATAGTACTTTCATACTCCTCTGTCGGATCACAAGGGAGTTGTTTATAGAAATTTTCATCTGCCAGTTGGCGAAGCCCTTCTTTGATGTAGTCAGTCCTGTCGAGTACAACCACAGCACCACCCTTATCAGCTGGTTTAATAACGATGCTCTGGCTGTCACTTAAACTGCGCAAAGCCTCCCGCTCCTCTTTGGACAGATTGTTGCGAATGGGTCGGCGCTTTTCATATTCCCTGATTATATCACCCTGGACGGCTGAAATGTACATGTCTAGATATTTGTCTCGTTGTTCACCTGGAGTCCAAGATTTATCTGAAAATTGATTTTGTTGCGTGCTGCTTCGATCATGAAAATATTCTTTTAGACGCATGGTTCTGGCAAAGTTGTCCAAATCTTGGTAAAGTTTAAACTCATCAATTTTGCCAGAGGCGGGGCAGAAGGTTAGACCTTTTGATAGCAGCTTTGTTTGCGCAGGTGTCAAAGATTTGCCGGAAAGGTTAACCACATTGGTGACATCGGTGCTCTTTTGTGGAGATTGATGAGAGGTAACAGGTTGATCTGTATACGTTGTGGGAGGATTGCTGGCGGAGTATTTTAAAGTCGGCCACGCACCGTCTCGCCTCAATTTCTTGTCCTTCTTGCCCTGGATGGTCAATCTCTTTTTTCCTTCGTATTTGGCCAGCTCTTCTGTTTCTGACTGCGTTAAACTTGACTGTTTTAGTCGCGCCTTTTGTTCTTCTTTAAGTTCCGCGGCCTTACGTGTACTGTGTTGTATTACGACCTGTGTAAGC